ACGCCGTCATCGCCGCTCTCGATGCCGGCTACCGTCACATCGACTCCGCCGCCAGATACGCCAACGAGGAAGCTTGCGGCCGTGCTCTGAAGCAGTGGTTCGAGAAGACCAACACCCCTAGATCTGAGGTCTTCGTCACCACCAAGCTTTGGGACGCTGACCACGGATACGAGGCCACTTTCAAGGCTCTCTGCGACTCCCTTGAGAAGTTCCAGCTCGAGTACTTCGACCTCTACCTCATCCACTCCCCCTCAGACGACAAGGAGAAGCGCCTTGCTTCCTGGAGAGCTCTCGAGACTGCCCAGCGCCTCGGCAAGGTCCGCTCCATCGGTGTCTCCAACTTTAGCTCTCACCACATTGAGGAGCTTCTCCAGGAGACCACCGTCGTCCCCGCCGTCAACCAGATCGAGGTTCACCCCTTCTGCCAGCGCCAGGACCTCGTCGACACCTGCCGCAAGCACGGCATCGCCATCGAGGCCTACTCTCCCCTTGCCCGCGGCAACAAGCTCGAGGATCCTACTATTGGCAAGATCGCCGAGAAGTACGGCAAGAGCCCTGCTCAGATCCTTCTCAACTGGAACGCTACCCGCGGCAACATCGTTCTCCCCAAGTCTCTGACTGCTCACCGCATCCAGTCGAACTTCGAGTCGTTCGACTTCGAACTCTCCCAGGAAGATATGGCTGTCATCGATGCCCTCGGTGCTGAGAACTACGTCACCGGCTCTCTGCACAAGGAGTAAATGATGTCTTATCAAGACAATTTGGCCTGAGGGCACTCCAGTTCGGCAGCATTCACCGCTGGATCTTCCAGTAAACAACTGAGCTTTCCTCCATCCTGAGAGCATTGGAACAGCCACTTGCATTGCCGGCGTGACGAAATCCGCACGTCGTCCATCCAGGACATTAGGAGTTGATTGCCACCGACGCCACTTGGCGTTCTATTCCCCCCGTCGAAGTATTTGGATAGGAGTTTGGGTTCTTTTTGGGAGGACATATAGAGATAGACATTTCATCTAGACAAGCGAGCTAGACTGCAAGCTGGGCTTGGCCTGGTACGAATCTTACGCCCCATATTTCAACTTTACTTCCAACATTCCTTGTGATGTTTTCAACGTGCCGCGATCAATAGACAGGTGTAAAGCCGGGTGTCCCTCGGGTTTGCGACAACTATCTTGGAGACATCATTCCGTCAGCGATAAGTAGGATCGATACGCAGATCGTGAGCCCCCCACACCTTGATCGAATCAACCTCAACATCCCGGGGTGTGGGCACCGTGGGTTCACGATGCAGGTGCCAGATCTTTGGGACGGCGAACGCATCTTTCCGCGTGAGATTGGAGAAAAAGAGGGGCTGGTGCTAAAATGCCGATTGAGGCTACCAAGTCTACATTTGATGAAAAGAGGACGAACACATTGTGAGTTTTGTTGCTATCCGGACCATCCATAACTCATCGATTCCAAAGCCCCCAATACGGCCGCTATGACGACTGAAAAATGGGTTCTTCAACATGATTCGCACTTAGCAATGTGTTGGTAGGCTGGGTCCCACTTACGCAGGTCATCCACCACTTCGTGATGGTACACCAAGATACTTTGCCAACTCACAGCTGAGGTTGATAGCAAAGTCTTATAACCCCATGCTTGGTTCGAATTGAAGATCCAGCGGCATTGCATCCAAGGTGTTGGCGAGCTCCAGCGCTGACGCCATGGGCCAATCCCAGACATTCCATTGCAGCTGGTCAAGAGCGGGCTGTTGGGTTTCTCTAGCTGAAAATGTCTTTATGCGGAGCATGTCGAGAACCTCGGCACATTGCGTGATGTACATATTGGAGTCATCAGCTCTCAAATGACGCAACGTCGAAGCGCATGTCTTGACCAGGTTTTCGTCTTCCTCGTCGCCAGCAAGGGTTTGACCTTTCCATCTGGCAAACAATATCGTCAGACCTGCCTGCCACAACATATGCAACCCGTTTGGGTAGAGATGTGCGATGATGATCGAGTCAATTCTTGGAGTTGCCATCTCCACGACTGAATCTGACACAATCGCAGCAGTCAGTCTAATAAGCTCACCCGAAGCACGACCGCAGGCCAGCAGAGAAATGTGAAACTGAGGGTCAGCGGTTGTGAAAGCAAGCGCAGGCCGGTGGACGTGCACCGTGGCATTGTAGAATGCAGCGCGTAGGAAAGCTACCTCGAAGGTGTCGATCGTGACCGCCGGCGGTAAGTCTGCGCCCTCGTCCTCCAAGTCTGCGACCTTGTCCGTTGGTAACATTCGCTCCCACATTGAGAGTTCGGCTTGCAGTTGTGTGATTTTTACGATCCCGCCGCGCCGTCTAGTTGTCGAATACAATTTCTCTAGGGCTTCTCCTACAATGACTGCGAGTTTGAACATGCAGAGAGCCGTGTCAACTTGGGACCGTTCGCCGGGTAAGGGGAAAGCCACGCTCTCACGCGATACTTGGTCGTGGTCAACACGGGAGGGTAGGTCTGTATCCACATCCTGGTCGCGTATCAACCTTGGCATCCCATGGTAGGCGCTGGAGAATCTGATGGAAATATATTAGTCGAGACACGCAAGAAGGGGGGCGGACAAACAAAAGACCTACGCGTCGAGAGAGTATTGACACCACCATACGCGCCGCCGAAGTTCTGTCTCCAAAGGATCGAATTTGAACCTCTGGGAGTGTCGGTGGAGTCCAAGATTCTGTGCCATTCTTGTAGCCATCCCTCCAAGCTGCGAAGCAGCTGAGTAGCGAGATGATAGCTGGAGATAGATCTGGGCAATCTCCAACCCTTGAAGCGTCGGTAACGACGGTCGCTCTTGAAGCTGATTCGTCAACGCAGCGGACATTGCGTAGTATTTCTCGGAATGGCAAAGAAAATGATGATGACTCTGGACACAGGGGCCTGAATGTCCCAATGTTCCCAGAGCAAGTAAACCTAGAATCTGGTACAGCAAACTGATATCGCCGTGTTCAGGATCCCCGATCAAGCGACGTAGAGCCTCTACGGTAGAATGTTTATGTACAATTGGGTAAAGTGGTGTCCAATGGTCGATGGTCGTTTCGAGTATACCAGCGGCGTCAAGCGGAAGTTGGGATATCATAGCGGCGACAACCTGCGACTCGGTATCCTTGGGTGGCGGACCCCATACGTTGTGTAGATAGAGACTATAGATGCTGCTCGGGAATGTTTCGGTATGGATTCGTAGCATTTGCAACTGCTGCTCAGCCTGGCTGATGAAGTGCACGCCCGTTGACGAGCCCGCGAACATAGCTGTCTGGTCGTCATTGGATACCAGCCGGCCCATGTGGCCGACCACAGGTTCTGGCAATGATTTCGTTTTTGCACTTGAAGAGGCTTCTGTGCGGCGCTGCCAAGATGATAGAGGTCTTGGGCCGCCATTACTTGTGAGTGCAGTCAGATGTGAGTGCTCCGAAGCGATTGGTTGCGACTTCCTTAGATCTTGAGTGAGAGAAAAGGAAGCCGAGCCAACAGTGCCGCCATGAGCTTCAGGAGTCTTTGAAGCCGCGGAATCGTCATGTATTTCCTCAACTCCCTCATTTTCGTAGTAGCTGGAAATGTGCGGTCAGTAAAGGGGACATTGACCGCGTCAGTCTCATATTTTGCTGGTTCTTGGACTTCCCAATCTAGCGTACCTCTTCCTCTTTCTGTTACGCTTCAACTTCGTTGACACAACACAGGCCACGCCTCCAGTGATACATGGTGTGCACTGCCAATCAGAATGAGCATGAGTTCCAAAAGCTTGAATCTGAGCATGTTGCACAGTAGGGATGGCCAACTTACCTTTTCGCCATCGCCATGACATCGGATTTTTCTCCTAGAACAAATAGACAAAGTCAGTTTTGGGCATTGGACCCAAAGAGATCGGTGGAACAGATTTGTTATGAAACTAGCAGAAAGCTTTGTTTGACGACTACTTACCGCCGACAGCGGTCGCTATTGAGCTTATTAGCCGCCTGATCATCCAGTGCGATTCTTCTCAGGCCGAGTCGGCATACCAAACTTGTCCAGATTGCCCTCCGGAAGAGTTTTCCTGTCCATTCATCCTCCCGCTCCGTTCAGCATCATCGAGAGCGTTGCTGGTACCTTTGCCAAGAGAATAGTTGACTCGAAGACCGAATAGAGCTCACGCGCGCTCAAGTTGCGATGATGTGTGTGGTGTTGTGGAGAAAGTGATGAACGCGGATCTGCTTGGCTATCAAAAGCCGGACCTATTGCACATTAGTCACATTTATCTGATAGTTGCATAATCCCACATCATTTCCGCATATTCACCATCTTAGTCGCACTCTGAAAACCTAGTTGGTACTAGTGATCTCCGTATAACACTATTCCGCTACTCCGACCAGCGGAAAGTCAAGTTCTACTATTCAGTCCCGTCCAAAGCTGAGAAATGATTGTGGCGGGGAGGGAGTTCAGCGTGACGCGGGTTCCTTTCAATTGAAGAGGCACTGATATTGCTAAGTTTTGGGGCGCTTGGGGGAGACGGTCTTGGATTTGTCATACTTGGTCTTCGTGAGGAACCCAACACAGGTTGTATGCTGCATACACAGACAAGGGCATGGGATAAGCATACAGATAGAAGTCTCGGTATCTGAGGAGAAGATATAGGTAAGCCTAGAAGCAATTGGATTCTACGCAAAGGTCTCATGAAAGACAGCAGTCTAAGGTAAGCAATGCTTAGAAGGGCCGCACCCTTGCGTCTCTGCTGGTGGCTCTGATGCCACAGTGCTGTGTGAGTGAGTGGGTGTGTTTGCGACGGCGTGTGCTCAGAGAGGTAAAATTGCTCCGATCTTAGGTGGGGGATCGGAGCCAAACTGCCCTTTGTGTCATCGGCCCCACCTGCCCTTCTGGCCTGTTGTTGGCCCCAAAGTCAATAGGCTCTCCTCAACACCGCCTACATGTTTCTTGCAGGGAGCAATTTCAACCACGTCCAGAGGGGTTTGTGCCATTACTTTCCGGTCTCTATAGATAACATGTCCATCAGTTCACCTGATATTCGAGTAGGGGCCTATGAATCAGACCAGCGTAACCAGACGCCGCCAAGAGAATTCAGCCGTTCCAAACGGCAGTCGTGGTATGTTCAAGCGTCAGCTCCTTTCGCGTCTGAAGATGAGTCTAACATCCCCTCGAGTGTACGATGTATCCGACTTCATCTGAAATGTTAGTCGGAGAAAGTTTTGGCAGGTCTGAAATTATGGAGTTATAAATGCTGAAGACCATTGGACCAGGCGATACGCCAACCCCTACCTGCTCCCCTTGCGGAAAGGCTGCCAAGTCGTGTACTTATATAGCAACAACCCGAGTAACTTTTCGACATCATCATAATCCGTCTATTGAAGGTTTCCAAGAGTCATTGGAGGATAATCGAGCTGTTCCGTTCCCAGCCCACCAAGTCTGGCTATCAACGCCACCCACCCGTGAGATTATCACTTGTCACGATAGGGCCCTCTGGGTAGCATATGTCCAACTAACTAAAGCTCGTGTAGTTATATTCTCAGACGACAGCATCGCTCTGGAACCCAATGAATCATCACAAGAGACTACTGCTGTCGAAAAGCCCTCAACGCTCCCAAGCATTGCCAATCTCCTGATTACCGCATCCGCCGAGTCACCTCGGGCACGAGATGTAGTGCAAATACCAGAGCCACCCCAGCAAGATGTTTCTGAGACGCTTTACCCTTGCGATGTTGAAGAACCTTCATCTAATCCTCTATGGCCTTTGAGAGACAAAAGAGAAGTCTTCCTGCTTCAGCATTTCATCAATCATCTCTCTCTTTGGGTACTGCTAGTCGACATTTGGCAACGGTTCTTATCTGACGCTCGTCTAGTTTGACTATTGCGATAAAGATCGACACTTCAGGATGACCATCGTACAAACGGCCTCGACACACTTTGTCCTTCTCAACGCCCTTTTAGCTATCTCATGCAAGCACTTAAGTCAGACACAGCCAGAGAAATGGGTTGCTGGAGAAGCCGACGACTACCAAGCTAGATGTTTGCAATCATACATCCCTGCTCTAGCACACCCGGCGGCGGCACGAGGATTTACGACTGGAGTTCTGTGCGCCATCACTATGATACTACGACTCTACGAGGAAATGACAGGTACGAACTATTTGTTCACTCTCATATGATTCTAACTGTGTCGAGTTAGTTCCGTCTGTCGATGATCGGCCGTATGGGCACATCTTAGACACGAACATTTTCACTTTGCCAGACTCTTCAGAAGACCCAAACTACAGTCTATGTCGCGCATGTCTGCTAGTTGCTATCCGTCAGGAAATCTTCATCTCTTTTGTAGCACGTACTCCTCCGCCCCGACTTGCACACAGATGCGGCATCACTCAAACCCTTGAGCCCACAAGCGACTTCAATTGGGCTTGGCGCATCATCACTTTTACTGAAGAAGTTTTGACTTTTGCATACAGCCCAGACACGCGCTCTACTACGTCTTGGGAAGATCTACGTACATATCTGCATCAGTGGATGGAGAAGAGACCGGCATCTTTCAATCCTCTGTGGCAAGCGGGCTCTGACCGCGAGGCCTTCCCTGAGATAATATTCGCCAACGACTTCCATAGTAAGCCCCGGTGCTCTCTATTTCTTTTGAGGCTGGCATAGGTACATGCGCTTAAGTCAAAGTATCATTGCTGACGTTTTCTTGTCTACTAAGTTGCTGGTCAGCAACATGCCATTATCTGCCAGATAATGTTACTAACTCACGACCCTCGTATACCTGTCCTCGGCCTTGACAGGGCTATGGCTTCGAAAGCTGTTGAAGTAGAGGTCCGGCGCTTGACGCGTCAAATTTGTGGTATTGCATACTCGGCAGGCGAATGGCAGCCGGCAACCATAGCCGCGGGGATGACGGTCGCCATGTGTAAGTTTGGCTCTGATTGTAAGATGACTTTAGCACAACATCTTATCGCTGACCACTCGCTGACCAGGTGGCCATTTGTTCCACAATCCTGAGGAACAGGAGAAGCTCCTTGATATTCTCGCAAAGTCTGAAGCGCACATGGGCTGGTCACTGTTGAGGCAAGAAGAGAGGTTGAAGGCCTTTTGGGAACGTAACGCAGAGTAATGCGCAAGCTACTTCTACCCTCGAGAATAATACGGGTTGGTCTATCTCTTTGATAAGCTGAAGTTCAAGACTTGGGCATTGTGACTTGACAGATTGGTCAACTTGGTCGCATCAATAACCTCACCCTCTCAACTGTACCTATCGTGAGAAAGCAAGAAGACTATATTCTACTAGTTTTTCGTTAGCTCAATGGCTGCCATTGGTAGTTCCATTACAACTCGCAACCTCTTTACTGCCGTTCAGGTCCTTTCTGTTTCCGCTGGCATGTCCCGCTCCCTGTCCTAACAGCTCATCCAGCATCAATTGACAGCATCCCAGATATCTTGTAGGATCGCACAATTTTGCCAGGTCTGGCGAAGCAAGATGAGACGTCACCTGTGATGATTCTTCCAAAGCTTCCTGTAGTGACATGCTGTTCTCATGTGCCTTAACGCACGCCTTGTAGACAATCTCGTGTGCCTCCTGGCGACCGGTGTACTTTGCCAGGTCCATCATGACAGCCTCCGCAACGATCAAGCCCCTTGTTGACTTGAGATTCACCATCATGGCATCTTTATTGACCTGGAGCCCTGATAGGGCAAACTCGGCTTGGTGGAGGGACCCAACAATGGAAATGAAGGCCGTTGGGATAGCAGCCCACTCCAGGTGCCACGGGCCGGAGGCTCGTTCGAAGTCAGAGACCATGCCATCTAGTACAAGGCCGGCCTGTGCACGTAGAATCTTTGATTGAGCAAGTATCACTTCGCTGGAAATGGGGTTGCGCTTTTGGGGCATGGTTGAAGAGGCGCCACGGTGAGGAACATAAGGCTCGGCGACCTGTGAAATGCGCGTTAGCATTGATCATCTCATTCGAGAGCCAGTGATTGTAGGCTGACCTCGTTCAGCTCATTTGATGACATGATGATCAAGTCGAGCGCGATCTTGCCCAAGCTACCGCCAACCAGTGCAAGGTAGTTGATAATCTCAGCGACAGTATCGCGTGCTACGTGCCAGGTGATGACGGGGTCTTGCAGGCCAAGGATAGTTGCGAGGCGCTTGCGCACACGGATGCCGCTGTCGCTTGTACCTAGAGAAGCGAGGGTACCAGCAGCACCGCCAAATTGGACCAGCAAGCAGCTTTCTTTGATCTGTTCGATTCGCTTCACATGTCTACGGAAACCAGCCAGCCAGACTGCGCATTTGTATCCGAAAGTGATGGGGAGAGCGTGTTGTAGATGCGTCCTGCCGGCCATGGGTACGTCTCTGTAGGCGGCGGACATTCTCTCCAGGGTCGAGGTGACTTTGCGCAGAAGGCGCTCGACGATCTCGAGGCCAGTCTTCATCTGTAGAACCGAAGCGAGGTCCATAATGTCTTGCGTAGTGGCGCCCCAGTGAATGTACCCAGCTAGAGGTTCCAATTTCAGCAAGTTGGGTTATTATGAGTTGGACTGACAGTCCAGACTTACAAGTCTCTTCGGGGACCCATTTTGACATCTGTTCTACCAGAGGCAGTACTGGGTATCCTACAATCTCCGTGCGGGCTGCAAGGAGTTGCCAGTCGATCTTCGAGACGTCGCAATGGTCTCTCAGTACAGCAGCGGTGCCACTGGGCACAATGCCTTCGGCTTCTTCAGCCTCGGCCAGGGCGCACTCGGCCTTAATTAGATTGGCAACATAAGATCGTTCCGAGAAGGCCTGGCGGGCCTCCTCTGTGCCGAAGATGTTGCCAAAGAGCGTCGAGTCGAAAACTGTGGCGGCAGACATGGTGGATGGAATGCGCGTAGGGATAGCGGTTCGGACGAGAAAGAGCAGGCGCAAGCTTCTTCCAAAACCAAGCTTTCCAAATACATCGCCTCGTTCTCCTCGGTCTGTTTTATTCCTTGACTTGGGTGGACAATTCTCCGGCTAACGTCCGGTCTTACACCGAGAACCCCGCGGTGGGGGGCACGGAATAACGCAGTAGCGGGGGCCAACTCGCGGGATAAGAACGGAGTATGGCCGTGTTGAGCGGCGTAACGGCGTAACGGCGTATCGGTATAGCACAGACCAAGTGACGGTTCGCCGGGTCTTGGCCCCATTTCCCCGTATCCTCAACGCCGGGTCATGAGTTTAACATGGGATTAGCGCTTGCGGGGAACGTGTATTTTCTGGGGTTGAGTCGAACCAGACCCCGCAAAGCCGGGTATAGCCAAGTGATAGACAGCCGTCATGTATAAATCAGACGACGTCTTGTATGTTTCCTCGTGGATCCAAAGGCATCGAGAGATTATCTCGTGTACGACTTTGCTCTCTTACTCTCTACAGCACCACTTTTAACTTGTTTCCTCCTCTCTGCTGATGATGGCAGTTACACTTGACACCGACTCCAAGAAAGGCGGCCCGCTTGAGGTTGAGCATGATGAAAAGTCGGTCAAGGGCAAGGCCGTTGTCTCTGGCGATTACTCCGGCGCTCAAGAAAAGACAGACCCAGCTGAAATTGCCCTCGTCCGGAAGCTAGATCGCAAGATTATGGTAATCTCCTGACGTTCAATTTACCTATCTACCTAGTGATAACGATGCTAATGCGGTGTCTCCTTGTACCTTAGCCGATCCTCTGGGCAATGTATTTCATGAACTACGTGCGTTGAGCCTTGCCCCGATTACATGCCCCCATTCAAGGCCTGGCCCTGACGAAGAACTTAGCTCGACCGGAATGCTCTCCCACAAGCTCGATTGAATACGCTGGAAGAGGATCTGAGACTCAAAGGAGTTGAATACAATACTGCCATCTCTATCCTATTCGTTGGATACCTTCTGATGCAAGGTCAGTCTACTTCAGGGCAGGGTTCGAGCTGCGTTTAGTCTGACGACGTCTAGTACCCTCAAATATGTTTCTTACACGTACGAGACCATCAATCTACATGTCAACATGTATGATTGGTTGGGCCGCTATCTCTGCTGCCACTGCGGGCGTCAAGAACTACAGTGGTTTGGTCGCCTGCCGATTTTTCCTTGGATTTGTGGAAGCAGTGAGTTGCATAACAGATGTCAATGATGGATCGTAAGCTAATCGAATGGCTTTTCTAGCCCTTTTACCCAGGTGCCCTTTATCTTCTGTCGATCTTCTACACGCGGAAAGAGCTTGCAACTAGGATCTCCGTCCTTTACACCGGTCAAGTTGTCAGTACCGGCTGCTCAGGTCTGATTGCTGCTGCGACTTTCAGTACTTTGGATCAAGTCAAGGGAATTGCAGGTTGGAAATGGTAAGAGCTTCTTCTATTTGTCTGTTCCCGATGATGATCTAACAGTGTTAGGCTTTTCATCATTGAGGGCTCGGTCACCGCATTAATTGCCGTCTTCGGCTTCTTTTTGCTTCCTGACGACCCCTCTGTTACCCGATGGCTTACCGAGGATGAGAGACAGCTCGCTGTTGAACGCATTCGTCGTGACACTGTTGGTAGACAAGAGCGTGGCTCTACCATGGATGGTCTCAAGCAGGCTTTGAAAGATCCCAAAACTTGGCTGTTCTGCGCCTGCCAGAATTTCCACATTTCTGCGGTCAGCTTCAATGCATACTTCCCGACCCTTGTGCGTACTATGTAAGTTATCAAATCGCGGAACCTACCATAGTAGGACTTGAGGAGTGACGAGATGCTAATGTTTGGCTAGGGGCTTCAAGTCGACTACGGCTCTTCTCCTAACGGCTCCTCCCTACTTCGTCTCCGGTTTTCTTGGTATTCCATTCGCATGGTCGAGCGGAAGATTAAACGAGAGAACCTGGCACATCACAGCTGGTCTATCTCTTGCAGTCGTCGGATTCGCCATGACGATTGGGACTACTAACAACGCCGTCAGATACGCAGCGACTTTCTTATATGCGACAGGTGCCTACTCCGTAGGATCTCCCATCTTGGGGTGGGTCAGCGATACCTTGTCGCAGACGCCTGAGAAGAAAGCTGTTGCATACTCTTTAGTCAACGTCACAGCCAATTTGGCGTACATCTATTGCGCCTACCTTTGGCCCACGTCGGATGGGCCCAGGTACATAATCGGCTTCTCGTGCATGATTGGCTTTGCCGTTGCAAGCATCATATGTGCGTGGGCGATGAGGTTCTGGTTGATGAGCATCAACAGGAAGCTCAGGGAGAGTGAGGATGAGAACGTGAAGCTCTATGCTTACTGATGCACGTCAGTATGGAAGCAGGTATTCTGTCGCCTTCTTATCACACGGTTCTGAGGGCCTTTGATCAGCACTTCTCTCGGGGCAAACTGCATGTATCGAATGAAGCTTAGCTTAGATAACCAGGCGTGAACTTGTGCAGCTTCCACATCGGCTGTTTTGAGTGCTTTTTCCTCTTGCTACTGGTGTGGTAGTCTTGTTGGCTCTTCTACGTCCAGCCGAGCGACGCAGAGTAAGATCGAAACATCAAAGAGCCCGGAAATCTCAGACCGTAGACGATACTACTCTGAAAATAGTGGATAGCTGTTGTTTGAATGATGCCTTCACATAGGTTCATTCCTCAAAAAAAGCATTAGCAACACCACGCGAAGCCGCGTCTTACCGAGAAATGCTTTAAATGCATGGTTACGTCCGACGGAGCAACATTTCTCATCTGGCACTAGACCGAGTTACCCCTATAAAGTATTGTATTCATACGGATAATTATCCTTCTTTTCCGCAGTTAGACATTCACATTTCGAGTATAGAATCGAGACACATCACTCTTGCCTCTTGCAGGATGAGAAATCGTAATGCGACCTCACATCGCGGGATGATGCGCCGTAGGGAAACCGAAAGCGAGCCAACCTGGTCCTCCAAGTCTCCAGTTTACGAGTCCCTCGTACGGAATCCCGACAAGTCGGCTGAGAGGCCCACAAACCTTAACTTTCATTCGCAGAATGTGGTTTGTGACGATGTGTTTGCCCAACATGGTATGGGACGGGAAGATGAGTCCGAATTTTAGACGCGTTCATCCACTCACTTGCATCGGCGACTTTCAGCCAACCTCCTGGCTGTGGCCCTTTCATCTGCTTAGGCCCCTGTCACTGGCCTGGATTTGGTCGAGAAGCGGAGCGGAGGACCCCCGTCCATGTAGCATCTTGATGACATTGACAGACCTGTCCCACTCGACATTGCCCTTTCCAGCATGCTCCCCAGCTACCAGCTCCCGCATCAGGAAACGTCTGCCGGGCCCGAATGACCACGGACTTGCCAATTGGTGTCTTCGTCGGCGCGGAGCAGCGGCCTCCTCCGCGCCAGTATGGTCAAGGCGAGAGATTTCCCATCACACGGAGAGTTTTAAGATTCAGGGACCGCTGCATCCATCAAGATGCAGCGGCGATGGTGTGCGTACGGAATGAGTTCACATGCTCTATTGCCCTTGCTGTTAGGTGGAAATGGATTGATGAAAACCTCGCCGCCTCTAAGATGCCGGCCCAGCCCTATAGCGCCGCTTGGCATAAACCGTTACACCCGGGCGAGGGATGTGCAATATGGGAACGTCATTAGTCTGAAAATAAGTCGAGGCCTCCTCGTGTCGCCTCGCTGTCACTGCGTCTTGGCATGGCTGTACTTCCATAGGAGTTTAGACTTGTTTTTAACCTTGTGCAGTTCCTGATGCCATAGCCTTGGTTCGACCCCAAGCTCCTCCTCGACCTTCATATTCTTTCGTACTATAGTTCTTACTTCAACTGCACTCGCTTTATTTCTCGGCCCTTCACGATGAAGATCTCTCTTCTCTCACTCGTCGCCGCTCTTGCGAGCACGGCCACTGCACAGGTGCAGGGCAAAGCCTTTGGCTTCGCAGCTGGCACCACTGGTGGTGGCTCAGCTGCTCCCCAGACTCCTTCTAGCATTGCTCAGTGAGTTGAATATTCACCATAGACGAGAAATCGCAGTGTCCAGAAACTAAGACCTGGCAGACTTAAGGAATGGCTTACCGACAGCACGGCCCGAACCATCATGATCGATCGCACCTGGGACTTCCGCAATACTGAGGGAACGACCAGCGGCAAATGCTGTAGTGACAACCGCACGACCAAGTGTCCCGGCGGCACTTCCAAGGGCCAGGCCTGGATCCAGGATACCTGTGATGCTGCTAGCGGCACCTGGGTTGACTGCACTTACGACAACGCTGCCAAGACCCCCATTGATATCAACAGCAACAAGAGTCTTGTGGGTGTTGGCACCAAGGGTGTCATCATCGGCAAGGGATTCCGTGTCCGTGGTGGAAAGAGCAATGTCGTGAGTCTACTCTGTCAAGCTACTAGCCAGTATCTAGTTTTGAGAGAGAAGATATTAACTGAGGACTCCATAGATCATCCAGAACGTTCACATTACAGTGCGTCTATAACCTTTCACCGCGATGTTGATATTGCGGTACAACTGACTGTCTGCAGAATCTCAACCCTCAGTACGTCTGGGGAGGCGATGCCATCACTCTTGACGGTGCCGACAATGTCTGGATTGACCACGTCAAGATCTCCCTCATCGGCCGCCAGTTCATCGTCTCCGGTTGGGGCGCCGCCGGCAAGGTAACCATCTCCAACACTGAGTTTGACGGCAAGACGGAGTGGTCTGCCGGCTGCAATGGCAAGCACTACTGGACCGCCCTCCTCATCGGCGCCAAGGACTACTACACCTTCTCCGGCAACTGGCTGCACGACGTCTCTGGTCGATCCCCTCACATGGGAACTACGAACACTGCCGGAAGCGAGAACCTCTTCCACGGCGTTAACAACTACTTCCAAAACGTGGGCGGCCACGCCTTTGACATTGACGGCAACACTTGGGTCCTTCTCGAGGGCAACTACTTCGATGCTGTCACCACTCCCATAACCCCTGCCAGCTTGACCAACGGAGGCAACATCTACATCGTGAACACCGTCGATGAAGCCTCTCGCTGCACTTCCTATTTGGGCTACATCTGCGAGTGGAACCGTGCCCGTGACTCTGGCGTCGTCAGCAGCCTCACCAGCACCACCGCTCTCACCAAGCTTGGTGGCTTCAAGTCTTCGCTCATTGGTCACGTTGGCGTTGCCGATGTTCCTGCCAAGGTCAAGGCCAACGCTGGTGTTGGCAAGACTACGAGCACCAATGCCTAGAGGCTTGCATTTGCATGATTTCCCCTTAGGAGTAGCTAGAGGTTACTCACTGGCTTTACTACTCACTCGCAGTTTCACAGTCCGTTGGACTTGAGGCCTTATCTTTATACAGTTTCCTGTATATACTTTTCACGTACATATATCTCCCCTGGCTTCGGCCTCGAACACAGCGGTCCTTCTCATCAAAGAAGGAGACATTTACGAGTGCTTCCATGATATCACATGGGTCGGAAGGTCGTTTAGTTGTCAAATTTGATAGATTCAGTTAGGCTTTGACAATCAATGCAAATATGGACTCGGGTATCTAATGATGTTCTGTCATAATCATCTTACACTCCCACATACCACCTCTCATTCGTTTCTATATCAACCAAGGCAACAAAAACGCCAAACGCCACAAACTCCTATGCAACGATAGAAGACAAATCCGGAACAGTAATCTTCGAACTTTTGTGTATCCCCATCTTTCCACTGACCAACCACCTTCCCTCTCCCAACATCCTCATGAGTCTCGCAGTTCCCATTCTTGGGGTATTGTAGGGTATTGAACTGCCTTCGCTTGCCCTGAGAGCCAAGCATGGCAAGCCTCGTAATGTGAGAAGTGAGGGTTCTGCTTATAAGACGTCACCATTCGGTCGGCGACATCAAGCACACTCCGACCCTCCACGTCACGGGCTTGTACGTTTGCGTTGTGTTGTTGAAGTGTACGCATGGCCAGCTTTTTGCCTCTACGAACTGCGACATGAAGCGCGGTCTCGCCATTCTTGTTACGGGCGTTGACGTCGGCACCCGCTTCGATGAGAGCCTCCAAGATGTTGACGGGCTTCTTATAGTCGTCGTCTTCGGGGAGCTGAGCCACGAAAGCCATCAGCACCGTGTTGCCGTATTTGTCGTAGTGGTTTGCGTCAACGCCGAAGTCGATGAGGTCTCTGACGACCTTCTCCCTGGCAGTAAGCCTCTCCTTTGAGGAGTCTGTGAGCGATTTGCTAGGCTTGTTGTGTTTGCGCTTGCGGCTGCTGCCGCCGCCTGACTGCTCTGTGGGAGCTGCTTGTGCAAGATGTTGTGGGAACTTGGCGAATAATGACTCCTGACTGAGGATAGCATCGGCAAGACAGTGCAGACCGTTGCGACCTTGTGTATCTTGCACTCGGGCGTTGGTGTGTGCTTCGTTAACAAGCTTCAGAAGTTGGGCTTGTTCCTCAATCGGAGTTGGGGCCCTGCGCAACGTATGAGAATCCCAGGTCGAGGACATCTCTTGCCCGACAGCAGCGGTATAGGCTCTCCGAATTGGCAGTGCGATAGGAGCACACTCGGGGATATTGCCAAATGCGTCGCGACAGCAATAAGCCATAGGGTTAAATTGGTTAAGAAGGGTGTTTTTCATCTCTAGGCTCAAAACATTCGGCTTCTTTGAGTGGATAATGTGACAGAAGTTGCGTCCGTAGACATCACGGGCATACAGGTCGAAATCGGATCGCTTCAAATAGGCGATGAGTTGGAAGAGAGAATCGGCGTGTTTTGTAAACCAGCTGTCGTTGAGCAGATGCAAAAATGTCTGGCCGGCGCTATTGGTTGCCGATGGGTTAGGGGACGACTCGATTGCTTTAAACAAGAGGGCGTGGTGGGCGTTCCCAGCTGCAAGAAGGTGTAAGATGCTATGGCCAAAGGGATCGCGAGCATTCCAATCCTTGTTCGGAGGCTCTCCACATTGCAGGACGTGTTGCGCGTACGGGGTTGGGCCTGAGTCGGTGACCCAAGAGCCGTTCGGGAGCTCGTCTCGGATGTGGCAGAAGCAAGATCGCGAATCATGCTCCGGAAGCCCTTCAGAGCAAAAGCCTTGTTGAAGGAGGTGAGATGGCAGGTTGAGATAGTCGCCGGGAAGGGGTGTGGCTTGTGATTCCGAGTTTCTTTGCGGCGCGTTATACTCGAATATCCACGATGCTGGGTTGGAGTTGGCAGTGCCAGGTCGGTCTTCGTTCGTCGGTGATTGATTCATCATCGTGTTGCTGGGCATCGTGTAACGCTTCAACAACCTACTGACTTGATGACGGAATCCAGTTGAATACTGTGAAAGCACGTCTTGCAGAGTCTGTGTCGTAGTCTGCCGGTGTATCCCGGTTTCGGGTGGCGGCACGGACGCAATATCGGCGGTCACCAAGGTCGGAAGCGGCCCCGGGGCCGGCGGGCCCCATCCGGCAGAAGAGGAGCGTGAATGGTAAAAGGGTTGAAAGTCGTTGACTGTTGGGCTATTGCTGGCTTCGTATTTGAAATCGGGATGTGCGCTTAGATGCGATCGGGCGCCAGAGGAAATCGAACGGGAGTAATTTGGCGAAAATGCGTTCTCGGGCGTGTTCTGGCGAGTTGGAGAGTTATCAAGGGCGCTTATCCGCCGATCCATGTCTGTTCGGGTTCGCGGGTGAAGCCATCGTGGCTCTTTGTCGAGAATCGAATTGAGCTTCTTGTTGGCGGAATCCTTCCTGGTAAGCGCTGGTGTCAGCAATCGCATTTGCGCCGGCGCAACCCAATCTCTAAGCTTACCCTGGGCAGTCTCGGTTCCCCGGAGTCGCTTTGTGAACGACTTCGACGATCTTGGTGAGAGGTAGAGTCGTGTAGACATAGAGTCTAGCCAGTCTGCGCTCGGCCGAGTCACTCCATAGCGAAGGGCGACCGGTCTGGGTCGCGTGCGAACTTGAAGGTGAAGCTGACATGAAGCTCAAATTGGAGGCTGGCCGCCACAGCCTTACCACGTATAGCGTCGTAGAAGGTGTAAGTGAGGTAGAGAAGGAGAGTAGACTCTACTGATAGCGAGTACTACTACGGACCAAGTGCCTGACGAGAAATTGAGGCAAAAGACTCAGGCTGAAGCGAGAGACATGATGAACAACGGGGAGGATGGACTTGTACTTTTGGCCATGAAGTGAGGGGGACGGCCAGGCTATCAATGAGCTGAAAGTTGGTGCATTTCGCCGTGGCGCCGCCGTGGTGCTGCTGCGAGAGAGAGGGAGGGAGGAGAATAGGCGGCCCCAGAGAATACACGGGAGTCGGCACGGAGCCAGGGTCAACAAGCAGCTAACGCCAACGATCTAAGCGTGGGAACGTGATAAGACTGGGCCCCCAGCAGCCAGGGTTCGGTAGCACAGCAAACTGGCAGCCTGGAGGAGGAGGTCTCGAAGGTGGTCTGGCGGAGCCAATGGCTACGAAGTAGAAGAATGATGGTGGTGCGCCAGTCGGCTGGGTTGCAGGGGACAGAGGCTCAGCTGTGAGCCTAGGGGGGCACGGGTGGGCAGCTGGGCTTCATCAGACTGGACTGTATGAGGCCGACTTTTGTTGTGACGGGTGAGAAGGATTCTCGATATCCATGTGGTATACGAATACCTTAGTGAAAGATTTGATGTTTCGTGCCATGTCTTGACGGGCAAAGATTGTTTGTGAGAAGGCTTCCACCAGCTCAAAGATGGTTCTCTCAATAAAACGTTGGATTTAGGCACCGGAATTACTGGCGCTCTGAGTTGCTCGGCTACTTCGTACAGACACTTTGGGAGTGAATCCTAGTAAAAGTAAGCGCCCACTCGCAACGATCCCCGTCCTCCGTCCTCGGCGTCAGCGGTTACAATGGCGCCAGAAGCCGCATCCGCGACTTTCTTCTCTTGTTCCACGGGGGAAGCACAATCGCGCGCAGTGAGATGGAGATGACTTCATTCCAAAGTAACCGGGCCGCACAATGACGGATGGTATATTGGTAGTGAACAGGGACTCGGACGGGCCGCAGTGGATTCGAGTTGTTGCCGTGAACCGCAGCAGCAAACACTGTAAGTGAACGAGTGTGTGTGAGCGAATGAGTGAGTGAGTGAGTGGGGGGATGGGAAAATGCCCTGTCAGGCAGAGTTGTGAGGGAGGGACTGGCTGTGTGGCTGAGCCAAGTTGGTTTAGCCCTCGTGCACCCCATGCCAGCAGCACTTGAGAATGACGTGCGAAGAATGAGATGCGAGTGCTGCTTCTTCGGAGCCCTACGAATACGGATAGCATTTTGACTGAATCTGAATTCAGTCTGGGGTGTGGTATGTGAGACTCGAGAGAGATTCCCGACTCGAGCTTCGCCCAAGTTGAGTTGTTTCAACACTCGGCGAGAACTTGCAGTATGTGAACGATAAGTAATTGAACTGACATTTGGTAGCAATTACAGCCGACTCTCTTATGCTGCCTCACTCAGCGCCTGTCTCTTTCTTTCCCTTCACAGTTTGCGACAACTGACTTGACGAATCTAGCGGGCACTGAGCCCCTCACTCAAATATATGGCTCGTGAGGCATTGAATCGGAAAGACAATGATGAGAGCAGTTGTCATTCCCTCCTTCGTATCAAAAAAGGAAGTGTGCCATGAGCTGTTACAACACAGATATGCTTCAATCTTCACTTGGCCAGACAACTCTCGGCCCAATGAAAGCTTCTCAGTGTGTTAAGCCTCTCGGTTGTGCTTCTTCCTTCCGCGAAGCACCGCCCGGGAACCCAGCCACATCCATATACCTTGCTTGGTGTCGATGAGGTGGGTGTGGTGTGCATCAGGTTGAACGCCAATTGTAATGTAACTCAACACCAACAGTCGCTGCAGATGGACAACTCATCGGCGGCCTCGACGATTCCAGTCTTCTCTTTTGCGGTGTGATGAGTTTCGAGTGATCTTGATCTCGACAGTAATTGCAACTAAGCCACAGAGTCAATTTGGACATTGTGAGTCTCCGTCATTGGTAGCTCCGGATGCCTCCCCGCTTACCTCTCTCGCTCCCAGTCTCATCGTCTTCCTTCCTGTCCCCTTTCCACGTCAGTACTGCTAGCCAGCCAAACCGCTTCATCAACTGGCTTTTATCTCCGACACGCCTATCGTTGCCTACCTGCTGTGTGCCATAGTGCCCCGCCTCCAAACGGCGAGGCGAAGAGGTTTGGAGTTGAGGAGTTGATGGTGGCGATCGCCCCGGCGGTCCTCCTGCAAATCACCATCCACGCTCGCCAAGCTATTCGTCAAGTGAAGCTTCGATCCCGTTCACCGCGCCTCTGCAATCTACACTACCGTGGCCCTTGACCAGGCTCTTGCGGCACGCAAAGCTCTCCCAGCCCTGACTAGCCTCCGTGCCTCCATACCCTTCTCCGAATGTTCCACGAACACGACAACATAGCGCGGACCCTCTTGCTCGCATCTATCCAGTGCTGGGCCTCTCTGTCTTAGCCTGGATCTCCCGCCCGCCCAATCCCGGCCGCAAATGTTCCATTCATACGGAGTACACTTCCTTCATCAAAGTCTTTCAGTTCTGACTTGACAGCCACGGAAGGTAGTCCCGCCCGCCAACATCTGCCCTCCCCAGCCAGCCCGGATACCCTTGAAAGAGCGGGCGTCTATCTCATCGATGCACCCCTCTCCCGGAAGCTATCCAAGATCCACGCGAGTGCCAATCCCACTTGGCTATGCGACGGAAGCTTCGAAAAAGTTAGACAAGCACCCAAGGCCCCAAGCTCCCTCCGTCCATGTACTGTTCTAGCTAGTGCCAACCGGGATCACCCCTCCCCTTGTTCTTCATCCACCGGCTTTTTCCAATTGCGTTTATTCTTTTCGACTTCACTCTCCAACATTGTTGTCAAGAGTCATCGCTGGTTGTCTAATCATTCTTTAGGTCGGGAAGGGAGGCCGTCGCCCAATGCCAGCCAATGCCTCATCGTTTACGTTCCTAATCCAATGTTCCCATGACAGTCTCTGCCGTCAAGTGACTGCGAAGCTAGACAACTTCCCTGTCGATCATCTTCAATATCCTCCGTAGCATCATAGCCATACTCTACGGCTGCTTCTTTTTTTCCGATTGTAATTCCTAACCATTCCCCTTTCAATCCTAATTCCACCATGGAGTCGCATGCCCCTGGGTTCGACTCATTCACAAACCAGCTTGACTAATTTCAAAGTCGATTAAGTATGATGTTTTTTTTTTTTTTTTTTTTTTTTTTACAATTCTTCGCGGTTTGTATTTGCAATGGGCGGTACAGCTGCCTATTCCCATGTTCAAGTTGAACCATCTCTCACTTGTATCCTTTCATATATAAATGGTGAAGCCTGACCCGTTGGTATGAAGTACGGTTTGAGGCCAGGCCAAACCAACATCATCACAACAATCCAAACATCCAACATCTACTGCCTATCTTGCACTTTCGTCACCACCCTCATCATACCCGCCCCTCCACAGCGCAATATGTCAGGATCTAGCTACTACCAGCGTCCCGCCGCTCCGAGGTACGACGGCTGGTCCCTTCCCCTCTCCTCTGATACCTTGTAAACCCGGTCCTAATATCTGCTAGTTACTCTCAATATTCCACATCTGCAAACACCGGCGGGCAGAGGCGCGATGCAGCTACCAATCAGACGTCATATACTACCGCGAGCTACTCACGCTCATCCGACCCGATGGACAAATTCTGGGTCACGGGCCAGTCTTCGACCAGACCAAATCGTGTAGCCGGGCAGATGGAGCAATGGGACAGACAATGGAGTTCGGCGAGTCGTCGTTAATGGGACCAGTTGGCTCAGCGAGAGTGCCTCCCGGCCAGCCCTTCTCATGTATACAATCCCCCCCACCCCCTGTATGAATAGTTTGCCCGATACCCACATAGCATAGCATCTTACATTGATTCACAAAACATTCGTTCCCCATAAAACATACACTGTCCTTTGTTCCCACCTCACGATATCGCATCGTCGCCAACAAAGGCTGTCGCAACGCCCCGGGGAAGCGCAAAAGCAAAAGCAAGCACTCACGGGAGTGATCGTGCTCCTCCACCTGGGCTCGAACCAGGGATCTCCCGATTAACAGTCGGACGCCTTAGCCAACTTGGCCATGGAGGATTGAGGTTGTCGAATGAGGCTCGTCAGCCGAGGTGCGATGCCTGACGAGACAGGCGTTTGTTTGCTAAGATCTCATGCTCAGTATACATGCCGTGGCCTGAGCATTCGGGTGATGGCCTGTGTTTTTTTTGACGATAGAAGAGACGAGGTGGCCGAGATCACCTAGCCGACTGTTGGGCGAGAAACTTGGTGGCAATCGGTTGACGGAGTTGACAGATTGATGACGAAGAACCACAGCATGATCTATAGCCAGCTTAGTATTATATGCAAAGAGTTCTACGCGGGCAATAGCATCACAAACATTGCATCAATGACCGAGAGTTCAGGCCTAGCGTTTTGACAGATCGGGCCTGTCGTCCGGTGATCATACCCATATGAGACGGTATAGGATGTGGTCTAGCGACGAATGCATTGCTCAAATAATCCTGCGTATAGACAACATTGAACACCCTCGACCCTCCAGTCGGAATGCCTGCAGTTTCGGTAGGCAAGAAAGACAAAGTCTCTCAGTAGCACAGATCATCCTAGAGCCGACATTCTCAGGTTCCCAGCGACTGGGAGCGAAGTTGTATGCCGCATGTTTCATACCGAGTGGACTTACGTAGGGCTACTATTGTCGGGTTTTGACCCGAGCTTACAAAATCATCGCGCCGGATCGTAGTCCACCTCGCGGGGTCATCCCGTCTTCACACCGTGACCGGGCATGGTGTAAGCTCTGGCTGGGCGTGCTAGGGTGAAGACGGGACAAAAGCCCGCCGGCAGTTACAGTCTCATCTGCAGTGCGAAATCTTGGCGAACCGACTGAAACTTCCACTCGCGACAGGAAAGATGGGACGAGGCACTGACGACTCCAGTCCCTCCTCATAACGATTGTGGATGTGTAATGATATGGGAAAAGAGGGAACTATACCAGAACGCTTCCGAAGAGACCGAGATGACAGGTCTCATCTTTTTTCCGGACCCAACTTCATGTTGCGTACCATAGATCCGAGAAATCATGCGAAGTGGTCACGATGGGCCCTTGGAGGCTAGATGGGGTTGTGGAATGGATATCTTTGTTTCCCTGGGAGAAACCATTTAGCTCGATCCGGAACGTGAAGCTCGCGCCAGGCGGCGGACTGTCGATTTTACCCCGCCAGCGCACGAACCGGCGGCGAGACACAGCTTCATTCACGGTCTCATCACCTCATTTCACTCCATCTCACCTCTCCAACTCCACAATTAGACGTGTTCATTTGAGGCTCTAGCATCGTTACACCAGATCGTTACTTAGTTTCGCGGGATTTACAAGCTCGAAGATTGGCTGTTCAGCTTTGAAATACCTGAATCTCAGAGTCGCCGCCTCCAGCCAACAGAGAACATCGAAATTGAGGACCCCGGCCCTTGCATGAACCATCATGACCCAAACAAGCCAGCGAAGAAAACGCCAGGCTGAAGAGGATGAAGAGGAATATCCAGCGACGCCTATCAAGAGAAGTCGCGGAGATGATGGTTCATACTTCCAGTGGCTATGGACACCACCTCGACCGCCATCACGGAAAACCTCCTCGTCAGGTCTATGGAGCAACTCCGTCCCAGACGGCCTATTCCTCACCCGTCATGACGCGCCCCGTTCCTTTTCTTTACCCCCGGAACCCACGTCAAGACGGCCCCGTCGCCGGGGCGCCATCTCAGTAACGTCCCCATCACCCAACGAGGTGGATCGACATCTCGCGCGGCAACTCCAGCAGCAGATCGCCGTCATCCGGCTCAAGGTAGCTGAGAGCCAGCATCAAGCACAAGACGATGATTGCTGCGAAGATGACGGCGATGGAGACAATGTCCACAACGAAAGGGACGTTGATCATCTACGACGTGAACTAGAGGCCGTGCAGATCGACGCTTCCCTACCGTCCATCCTGGGCATCGCGATAGACTTTGACCAAAAGCTTTGCCTCAGTTCCTCCGGTTGTTCGTCAGATATCACCTCTGAGCATCGAGGTAAGCGACCAGGCGTTTGAGCGAAACCCAAAGGACGGCGCCAACACACGTGTACACACGCACGCACGCACGCACAAAACCAGGGAAAATCCGAGAGAATCGAGGTGGCACAGGTGAGAGGATGCAAAAGAGGGAGAAAATACAGAGTCATGTCCACCTGTCAACCGTCGATCAAACACAGCGGAGAGGGGGAACCAGTTCTCTAACAGAGTTGCATAGAAACCGGTTCGCCCGCGGGCGCGGATGCCGCAACCCCCTCCTCTTCCATCTCTTCGTCCTCCTTTCCCACGTGCTGCCGGCTCTGGGCATCGAATAAAGCCAACTCAACAACCAGCGGAGATACGAGCCCGACCACTCGGCAACCCACCCTCGTCAACATTTGCGGTAAAAGTAGTCGAGGCAGAAAAGGTGTCGGCAACGGTAGTCTAATGTGGAGGCGGCCTCGAACTTGAGACCAAACTCTCTGTTGCCAAGCTTTGATCCAACACACACCAGGCACGACACACAGACACCACACTCTACTCACTCACTTACTTATCGTAAGAGGCGGGCGATTACTGACAACCTCCGTCTCTCGTCTCGCATGAATGTCAGACTGTAATAATACAATCGTGTATTATATTTCAGACAAGTAAAAATATGAAAGTTCGGGTATCATGACCCTGAAGAATAGTTAATAGAACAATGTAATAATGAACGTTACCCAGAAAAGTCTGAGCGCATTAAAAGTTTCCGTTTCTTTTCTGATACCTGTCATTCGATAGTTTGAGAACCACCATCTGTGACTCTCCTTCCCTTGACTGCTCTTGTTGCCAAACCCCGCGTGCCTTTCAGCCCGTCACTCTCACCTCGCGGGCGGAGGCGGCGAATTAGACCTCGCAAACGGCCAGTTCGGATCCTTCTCCCCTGTCGGAGTGTCGGCCAGGTCCCCAAACGGACTCACAGTCTGCGTCCGTCTCAGCCAGTTCTTCGTGCCCTCCCCAAATTCGTCGCCCTCCTCATCAACCCTGTCCAGCTTTTCATTGTTTGCTGGAGGCGGTGGTGCTTGTGCTTGTACCGATGCAGGTGGTGGGCCTGTCCCTGAGCCTATCGTGAGAGGAGGAGGTCTCTCCTTCTCTCGATCTCGCGCAGGGGCCGGGGTAGCAGGCAAGGCCGTCGCCGGCGGGCCATCCCTAGATCTTGGCGGGAACAGAGAATACGGCGGCTTCTTGGGCGAAGGCGGCACCGGCCTCCTCGACACCGACTGTTCCCTCTGTATCGTACCCATGCCCATCTGCGGCGCGGTACTGCTCACAAAGGTCGTCTGCCGAGAAAAGTTGGGTTGCCCGTCGCCAAAATCACTGACCGCGTAGCCCATACCCCCAGATGACCCCGTCGTGCGTGCTGTTTCTGGCCGGGTCGGTGATATTGGACGTTTAACGTCTTGCGGATAGCCATTATTCATAGCCAGCGCGTTGGTCGTCATGAGAGTGTTCTGCTTTGGGTAGCTGATCTCACGACGGAATTCCCGTGCCGTTTGGTCCTTGCGTTTGTTACGCCGGTAACGAGTGAAGATGTAGAAGCCCAGTATGGTGAGGAGAGATGAACCGATGATGGCTCCCACGACAGCGAGGGCCGCCTGTGTGACCGATACTGCGGCACCTTGCGCTTGTGATACTCGCAGATTTGCATCGTCCTACGTATAATGTTAGATGGTGTGATTGTAACACGACCGCTTGAACATGAAATAGCCACGTACCCTCGCAGCTTGAATCTGCTGCTGTGCTTGCTGCTGAGCATTTGATATAGCCGCACTAGCGGATTGCGTTGCAACAGCAATCGCTTGCGCAGCACTATTACTGGCACTAGCTTGGATGCTCGCGATTTGAGAAGCAAGCTGTGTCTGCGCACTCGCTGTGACCATAGCAAGGTTGTCCGCGATCTGCTTGCTCGCAGTCTCCTTGGCCGCGTTCTGGGCATTGAGGATACCCTCCTTAGCGCTCGCTTGTGCCTGGACAACGGCGTTGTTGGCCGATATCGAGGCCCGGGTGGCCGCATCGTTGGCCTGCCTCGCCTGTTCCTCTGCCTGCCTCTGTCGGTCTCCGGCCTGTCTTACTTGATCGTTTGCTTGTTGAATAGCCTCCCGAGCAGACTGAGATGCCGAAGCAATGGCCTGCTGTGCTGATCGAGACGCCGAGTTGATGGCGTCAATGGGGTTGCCGATTACTTGTCGTCCGAATAGAGCCGGTAGTGTTGGTACCGCTAATACGACGCGGTCCTCGAGACGGGCCGGTTTGTTGTCGTCTGTCGATGCCGTGGGCGGCAACACCCGCTTGCCCAATAAGTCCTCGACCAGATCATGACCTGCTCTCCTCCTCCGTTGAGGTTCCGCCGGCGACCTGTGACCTCCTCCGTTCATCCATCTTGCTCTTCGCCCACTTCCTTCATCCGCCGCCGCGACTGCCGCCAACAGAAGGGAGGCCAGAACAAAGAGCAGTAATATTCGTGGGAGGCGAGCCTTCACCATGATTTCATTGTCGTCAGATTATGTGTTCCTCCTCTTCACTGCATTCATATTATCCGTAGTAGTCCCAAACGAAAGAACCAAACCTCGATCACCATTAACAGAAGAAGACTAATCAGCAAGAGTGCTCCGAAACGAACTGAAAAGGAATAACACAAGAAAAAGACCAAACCAGGAAAGGACAGGCTTCAGGCGGACCGGTCAGCGGCCCTCGCCCATGTTATGGCCCATGAGCCCGCTTCATCCTAACCCGTCGAACAATAAGAGCCCCACGGCTTTCAGCCTACCTGGGCAACGCCGGCGCGGGTCGAGACTCGTTGGTCCATCTCCTCGCCAATATTACATCCCAGGTAATCCAGTCGGCCTCATTGTAGTAGGACCTTGGGGGAGGGTGGTTGCGGGACGGGGCCACACGGCGGCTTCTTTCGTCACGATAGTAGCAGCCGCCGACTGGGGGAGATCAGATTAGCGCGCCACCGTCCCATCTTCTCATTCGGTCAGACGCCCAGAGCCCAGTTGGCTGTAATGCATGCATGGTTTCACAAGTGAATTTGGAAACAGCACGCTGACAGAAACGACAGAAAAGTTTATGCCTGCCGCTGGGAGGTGTTTGTTGCGTCCAGCGGCATCAACCTTCGGCTGCGTTCCGAGCTTGGTGGTGTCTCAAAAGCCAAAGTTGGACTGGATCCCTGGTCTGTTGAGGCTCCCAAGGCTCCCAGGGCGGAGAGGAGAATTACAATTGCGGGATCGTCTTCCAACAGCGTCGATCCTCAAGCTCCTTGGTGTCGCATATCCCTGTCCAGGGTCACTTGACTCGGACCCGGGAGAAAGTCTAGTTCGAGGTCGGGGTGGCCGGGGGAACCAAAAGGAACCGATGGCGACATCCATTACCTTGAATCGTCAGCCGACTGCCCACCACACCCGATTGCCCTTGTTCAGGGTCTGGTTCCCCTCCAAGTTAGGCAAAGGCAACGAAAACCTATAGGCCCAGCAGGGACCGACCTTCACTCAACGTCCCAAGAACCGCAACAAGATTTCGGAAGCCGGCGAACTAACCGAAAAGAACGAGTCATCCACGCGTGCCATAGCGGCTGAATAGTGTGCGCGCAGGTTGCGTGTTCGTGTTTGTGAGAGTGTGAGTAAGGTGAGTGTGGATGGGTGGGGGAAACATGTTGCGTGAGTTGAGCGTGAGGGTCGTGGGAATTTGGAAACGTTCTTCACATTGACCATCTATATACCATTGGGTGTCCCGGTCTTCTTTCCCTTCGTTCTCGATCATGTCGATCTGTGGGCACTTTGTGAGCAGCTCAACCAACACATCCATCCGTGCGTGGACTACTGGCTGTCTGGCCGTCCATGCAAAAAACTAACCATATCTCCCAACGCCAGCCATGCATCCGTCCGCCATCACGGAGGATATTCCCTATCCTTCAGCCTGAGGCCAACCCTTTGTTTGTTTTTGGTTTTGCGTAGTGTCTAAGAAAATCTCAACATTTGTTGAGAGACTGGACGAAAAAGATGAACAAGGTCATGGTCCGCCATTTGGCTCCAGCGCTTGTTCGTAGCTTTTGTTGTTACAACCCATGACTCTGTTCCGCGACGCCCGCAACCTAGCGGATGTTACCAGGGCGGTAGCCCAACGAAACCTCGTGGGAAGACGACTTTACACGGGCAGCTTGAACTTCTTGCCCTTCATCACTTTGGTGTAGTAGATCCAGAAGAAGTCACTGTAAAGGATGGTTTGGACGATACCGGCGGTGATAGCAATCCAGTCAACCTTGTGGTTCGCCTCTGTGAAATAACGGTAGATCCAGTTGGGGATGTAGAGGGCACGGTAGATGCCGAGGGCGAAGAGGTAGTGGGTAGTGATGGTCTCGGCCTCGCCAGTGCGCTGAAGCATGAAGAGCTGAGGCAGGATGGCGACGGCCTCGAGCCAGATTGAGAAGGACCAGGAGATCTCCCAGAAGCTGTAGGAGTAGGGGAAGATGATGGCCAGGGCGAGAGCTCCACCGAGCAGGTACTGAACGCGGAAAGTATCCTGATTGGGGTCGTTGGTTGGCTTGTAGGCGGTCGTCATGAGGTATACGATGTACCCTTGTGCGCTGATGAAGAGGATCTTGAAGATAAGGTTCCATAGACTGGAAGTCGTAAACAAGTCTGGTGGATAGGCACCGGTCAGCTCAGGTCGATTGGGGGGGAGGAGGCGAGGCAAACAGGCTTACCAAGGTACCTGGTGATGTAGACCAGGAAGTAAAGGGCTTGGGATTTGAAGGAAATTCCAGAACAGCTCTGAGAAGGGATTAGATAAGGGTCCTGGGTGACGACATTGTGGGAGTCGCAAAGCTCACGTTCAGCTGCACCATCTTGTGGAGGAGGATGCCGATACTGGCAAGGTGGGACAAGTCCCCTGCAATCCCGTCATGTTAGTCCCCGAAGCACGGCGAATGATCGCATATTCGAGGGTTCTGGCGACACGTACCGGCAATACGAAAGAGATTGAGCATCGTGATATGTTGGTTGCGGCGAGGCGATCAATCGCGATTGACGATTTTGGGGCGGGAGGGAGCTTCAACGCGGAGGGAGCTTGGAGCTGCCAGTGACAGCGCGGCTTATCGGATGGTTGTAATCAAGCAAGTGCAGGTCCTCTTGCACGCCGGCGGTGTTCTTCGTCGTCGTCGTCGTCGAGTGTCTTCGTGACGTGTCGTATCGTGTGGTTTGGTCTGGGGGTATTTTGACGTCGTGAGGTTGGAATTGATGGGTTGCCGGGGGGAGGGAGCTTCAAAATGGCGTTTGACACAGCTGGCAGCTTTTTTTTGGGTTTCCAGGAGGTCGAAAGGACACGAACGCGATTGCAAGCTCATTGGAAGCTGGAACCGACACTCGAGCCACACACTCCAGGGCGAGCTGCTACGGTTGGCTGCTTCCGTTATCCGCCTTACCTAATATGAGACAGATTGACAGGCTTAGGTAAGGCACGGCAATGAATATGAGACACCTCGCTCTTCCATAGTTTTGTTCCTGGAGACTAAGGCACCTATACGCTGTGGGGTCCTTCAGCGCTGCAAGGTGCCCCGACCACGGCTGAGGTAATCATGCAAGCCGGGGCGGAAACCCCGAATATGCGCTACGGGAATCGCGGACTCCACTTTCAAGTCTAAGCCGCTGCCCCGAATGCGACGGAGGTCGGGGAGTTCCCAGGTGCGCCAAGCCGTGACGTATTACAAAGCTGCCTGAATGACAAACCTCCGAGAGTCCCATCACGGGGTGGCCATCTGTGCCTCAACCCGCACTCGCTGTGTTTCCCAACATTTCCATGAGCGCCACCCATTCTGTATATAGACGCACAGCTTGGCGCTACGATTACCAGTCTTTGGAACACTGCACATATCTTACCTAGTACTTACGTACTAGCAAAACACCTTGGCCATTCTCCAAGCTCTATCCATACACCAAATCCGACGATCACCAATTCGAGCCTCCACCATGACCGAAACACACTCGTGCGAGTCCGACTACGACGACTCCGCCGATGAAGCCATCACCATCACTCTCACCCACCGCAACATACCACACACTTTCAAATTCCCCTCGGACGGAACAATCACCCACCTCTCCGAAGATGTCGAAGACACCCTCTCAATCCCCGCCTCAAATCAAAAGTTCATCATCCCGAAAGTCGGCCTCCTGAAACCCCCCTTTAAAGACCCCGACATGTCCCTCCTCGACCTACAAAATAAAAAGATCATGCTCATGGGCGTCGAGGCCAAGGAGGTCGCCTCCCTCCAAGCCGCATCCGAGTTCGCCGCAAAGCGAAACGCCGCACGCAGCGCCGCCCGCAGACAGAACCGGCCCTCGAGGAGGAGAGACCAAGGGCGCGCGCAGGCGGACAGCACCTACACCTTCCTCTCCGTCCGGCCACTCGCAGGTCTCCCGCGTCCGGAGCGATCCCTAGCTCTTCTCGAGAGACTCAAGGAGGACCCAGGCATCCGCGCCTCCATGCGCAAGCACAAATTTAGCGTCGGTCTCTTGACGGAGATGGAGCCCCTGTCCAACACGCAGTCCAACCACGAGGGGACGACTCGACTCCTTGGCTTGAACCGCAATAACGGAGAAGCGATCGAGCTGAGGCTAAGGACGGATGCGCACGATGGATACAGAGACTACAAGACGATTCGCAAGACCTTGTGCCACGAGCTGGCGCATAACGAACACAGCGACCACGATCGCAACTTTTGGGATCTTTGTCATCAGATCGAGCGTGAAGTTGACTCGGCGGACTGGAAGCATGGCGGCAACACGGTCGGAGAGGGGTCTTCGTATTATGCGCCAGGACAAGATGAGGAGGATGTTGAGGACCATGGCGGTTGGGAAGGCGGCGATTTCGTCGTGGGAGGAGGTGGTGGTGGTGGTAACGCTGGTCTGAGCCGACGAGAGATTCTGGCAAAGGCTGCAGAGGAGAGAGCCAAGAAGATGAACATGGAAAGGAGGGATGGAGGAAAGCCCGACTCTGGCCCATCGTCATAAGGGACTACGTGGGGTTATGGGGCAACGTTGAAGCGTTCGTTTAGTGTTTCTCTATCCCTGCTTTCTGATTTCAGCATTGCGCAGGCGTTGGTGGTTTGAACTTGGAATATAAATCAGCCTCGCTGGTCCTGGTTGCTGGATTAGCTATCATCTCAATCACGATGAACGTCTGCTCGCAGATGTTTTTTGACTAGGTGCCCGACTAGGTACCATGTTTGTGATTCGTATCATACTTTTTAGCATGATCGTCTAAACCCTCAATCCGATGGTTCATCTAAGGTAGTGACATCTTTCTACCCAATGGGTGAGGAATGCTGATACTCGTACAAAATGCCACCTTCTTCATGAATGCTGTGAAAAGAAAAAAGAAAAGAGAGTGACCTCGTCCGAGTGTCCTCCCGGTATGATATTCCTTTCCTAGAACGCCTTGATGCCATGCCTATGCCATGTCCGGAAACACCGCCAATGAATATGGGCGTACGGCGACGCCGAATGCTGCCGCCCAAATGCCCATGATGTTTGCTTCAAAAGGGAACGAAAAAGAAAAGCCGTATGCCGAATTGCAACTCGGAAAAGTCATCGCTTGAACTGATCCAAATTGATCATGCCGATTTCGTTTTCGGCTACTGCTGCGTCTTGAGCCACTCCTTTTGCTCGGGCTCCCACTTGTGTCTGTATCTCGTGTTAGTCGTGAAAATAAGAGTCGGAATTCCGCCGCCAGGATCAAAGCTTTTTTGGGGGTAAAAGCATGGATCCCAACGCAGATCGCTAAACTTACCCTTGCCATTCGGTAGTCACCAAGCTCTTGGTACCATACTCCTCGGAAAGAATGCGCTCAAAGCTGTAGGGAATGGTGGCGGGAACGCCCTCAAACTCGGTCTCACGCATGGGGAACAGGTCGGTGGTGCGGTAGCGGTGGTAGTTCTTACAACTCCAGACACCAGGCATTCCGGAGGGATCGCGCTCGGCAAGGCCAGTAATGTCGATAAAGGCACCGTTGGCCATGTTGATCCAGCGGGCGTCAATGATGTTCTGGCCGTCGCCGCGGTCCTTGTCAGTGCCGTGCGGGTTGACGTCGAGGAGGTAGCGCTCCTTTCTAGCGTTGCCATCCTTGTCGGTCCAGTCGAAGTCGTGCTCGGTGCGGTTCAGGTTCTGGCCCATCCAGTACAGAGTCGCCGTCGAGACCTGGACATCGAGGTCGTAGTCCCACGGCATGATCTTGCCGTTCCACCACCAACCCAGAAGTGTGCCGTGGGCAAGCCATGTCTCAACCTTGAGCTTCTTGGTGATGGTCAGGTAAGAGCGGACGAGGTTGCGGAGAACAACGCGGTGGTCGTCGTAGCCCACCGCTTGCTTGAAGTAACGGATATCGTAGTGGCCAAGCTCTTCACCGCAGCAGGGCTCGTGGAAGTACTTGGTGTCCTCGCGTTTTTCTATGGCTGGTGACGAGGATTGGCTGACGTCTCTGGCCGCTTGAGGTGCCGCAAGAACGGTTGATGTGAGGCCCATCACGGCGAGAGGGAGAATGAGGTCGAAGCGCATATTGGCTAGATGCGTTGTTGTGTCACTTGAGCGGGGTTCTTGATATCGAAATCCAGAAGGAGGAATTGTTAGTCAGTAGCAATGACGGCAAAACAATCCCAAGTTCCAAAACAAAATCAAAAAAAAATAGGGGAGTGCAGTTGTTTGTCGAGTTTGCTGGAGGCCTCGTAATGCCAAGATTTCGTCTTCGGGAGGTGGCCGATGCGAGGCAGGAAGGAGGTGAAGGTGGGTATGACAGGTGCCAGAGGCGCCGATGAAGGTAGTTCGGTTCTTAACTGCCTCAAATCAAGGTTGATGAGGACTAGTAGCGACTGGAATAGGTGAGAGCGTAGAATAAACCCTTTGGTTTCTGGAGGTTGGTCAAAATTGAAGAGTGGGCGGCTTGTGGGTATCGTTAAAGCTGATCAGGCAACGGCGACGTGGTGTATAAGACGAGTTAAGACGAGCTCCAAAGAGGGAGACCGAGGGCGAAGACGAGTAACGAGCCGAACCACTCTTGAAGGCAGAGGATGAAATGGCGAAATGCGTTGCTGCAGGTGTTCAGACCGTGATGTCGTGGTCAGGTCTATGTCTATGATACCGAAGGATGTCAAAACACGCAGATGCCAAGAAGTAAGAGGTAAGAGAAGAAGACCGGAGCGGACATTAGGGATGCGCGGCAGGGCAGGAGGAGGTGATATCTAAGTACATGGAAATGGATGTGTGGGAGGTGGATGGAGTGGGATTCGTGTATTCGTACGGGTACATGGGCCCAGAGGAGAGAGAGGCGTGTGGTGACGAGAGAGAGCGAGACGGGAGACGGCTGAGGGTGTGGGAGTGGGCTTGTGGAGGGTGTGTGGTGATCCTGGTCATGGTGTTAGTGCAGCATCCCGAGTCCCGCCATGGCAAAGAATCCCCACGCATCCCATGGAGCACCTATGGAACTGGATCTTCTTGGAGACTTTTTTTTTTTTTTTTTTTGCAGCTTTCGGTTTCTTTGCCAAGATGATAATGCTGTTCCCAGCTCCAGTCTTTCCAAGGGGCCTCCTTTCTTGCATTTGAGTGTCCCTTGTTGTTGAATATTATCCAACAGAGCCAAGGAGACAAGAACAACAACGAAGAGAGACACAACAGGCACTCCTCCTCCCTCCCCGGGGACCATTGGGCACCTCATGTCTCGCCTCCAGCCGTTCCGCTGTCTAAGCCGCCTAGGTCGCACATAACGGTAGTAGCACTGCCTTACGGAGTATAGACAAGCTCTACGTACTACGTATCCGTAGAGGGCGTACGTACGACGGTGGTACTGATACTCTGTAGAGGCATACTCCCACATTCCTTTGCAAGAGACGGGAGTCGGAAAGAGACTGAGACTGGCGGGTTTGCGCGTATGCGCCATGTTTGAGCAGCATACGTAATCCCGCGTCGAAAGGAGTTGATGGAGGCAGGGCGGCCAAGGCCCGGGCTGTCGCCGGTGGCCGGGAGCGGGTGACAGGCCGCGTCCTACGGTGGTACTGACACTGCTGCGCCTGCGATTGTATTCGTAGCCAGACGAGGGCCCATCGGGTCCATTGAAAGGTTAATCAAACCAAATAAATCAACACAGACTGGCGAGGTTCGTTCAAGGAGCATTCCGCCGGAGGGACAATCTCAAAAAAGAAGCTTGAGCAAAATGGGATCCGGTGGGTGTGGTCCGGGAAAGACGGGGGTCAAGGAACCAAGGAAAGGTCGGGTGGCAGCAGGGGTGAGAGAAAGGAGACGTTGGAGTTGGAGCGTGGGCGGAATATCAGAATCTGCAGTTGGCAGTTGCACTTGCCCTCTGACTCTCCAAGCTCGGAACGGCAGGGGTGGAGACGGGGGTCCTGCCATTGGGTGTTTGGGTCCTTCCGTTAGGATTCTGGGAGTTTACAAAGGGGAGGAAGAGGGAGGGAGGGGTCGAGTGTCGTGTGCTCCTGCTGTTGCTCGCGTTCTGCTCTCGTGCTCCTTCCCCTTCCTTGGTGAATTTTCTTGCAAGTCTCTCCCAATTTGAGTGCAAGGCAAATGCAGGTGGTCCCAGACTTCCCAGACTTGCCAGTCGCCGCATAAGCCGCTAACGGGCTTGGCACAATTTGGGGGTGGCTCCAGCGTCAAGGTCAGCTCCGGCGCCACTTGCGCGGAGCTAGGGGATATAGTCGCCTAGCCGATATCTGCCTTGGTCTCTTCTCTCCTCGATATCGTCCTTGATTGAGGTGTCACATTGTGTGTGTGCGACTAAATCCATCCTCTGCTATGCACCGCCGTTTGCTCGGTGCTAGGCTTAGTGCCGAGTGTGCCGACAGGCCGGGTAACTTGTAACTAAGGACAGCCCTGGAATAGGTTGTCTCGACAATCTGATATCAGCAGCATAGTCCGAAGTGGCAGTCGGTCAGCCGCAGAGTCAATTGCAGTCATCTCAATACTCAAGTCATCTCATGAATGATGAGGGATGCGAATGCACTTAAGAAAAGGGGATGCATCTAGACGAATTCGTTTAAGCAAATGCCGAGGTGGAGTTGTTGAGTGTTGATCCATCGCCGTTTGGCCGAAACGGCAAGAGGGCACCTGACGACGGGACTGTGATCCTTCCTTATCGGAGCTGCCAGCGTCACAATGGGACCTCCCCAAGTCCCCATGGACCCATCCAGATGGAAGGTGCCCCTGTCCGCTGCTCCCCAATTCCTACTACGTAGGTACTTCGCAGTGTAGTTCCTGCCCGGGGGCACACATCCAGATTCTGGGCGGTTCCTTCCATGATACCCCAAATCACCAATTTCGCGGGACTGAAATATCGATGACGGGACGATTTGGTGCACAGCGAATAAGGCAAATCCCGGGCCAAGTTACTCGAGTGTCGCGTGCCCATTGGCGAGTGCGAGCATCGAGAAATTCCCATCAGAGATTCCCGTCTCCCAGTCATCCTTGAACTCATCCGACGTTGAATCCCCCGAAATCTGCATATTCGCCTTAAACCCATGGAAGCAGCCCAGGTCACTCGCTGCTGCGCCCGACGGACACGGACACACATACCTAGCCCAAGGTAATCGGCATCGGATCAAACAGCTTGGAACAAAACTGAACACCAAGGCACACACCGCACAGCACAGGCACGAGAAGCTACCTTTACCCCATTTCCTACCCGCGGACCATGGCTTGCATGGGCAGATTGGCGCGGCTTTGGTTCCTTAGGAGTCTCACCCTCACTCTCAAGTCTCAACACGCCCCCTTGGCGCCAGTCAGCTTCCCTCCTCCCGTCCAATGGCGTGTAGCCGCTCCGTCGGGGCGTCACCTTGGCCGTCTCTGGGCTTCTGTCGATATGCGCGCCGGCGACACAATGAACCCCGTTCCGCTACTTGGCATATAGGATCCTGCCAGACCGTATCGTGTACGGGGTACGGATACAGCCTACGGAATACGGATTCTGGTCTCAGGAGCCAAGACCATTCAACTAGGGAACCAGCAGCGTC